AGCAATAATGCATAAGCGCAAAGCCGATTTTCTATTCAGTTAAAACGGACCCAAAGCTGGGCTTTTCTTAGTTTAAAAGTATTAAGATGAACGACTGTTTCTGAAACCTTCTGCTAAGGAACAATGGCAAACCTCGGGAAGTCTGCAAAACGAAGAAGCTTTCTAACAATTTGATATCACCACTACTAAGTCCACAAGATGCTACCCATGGATTTATCAGCGAAGAGATAAAATACGTAACTGACATTACTTAAAACTTATTACTGCAACTGTCACACAGAAAAATTCTGCAGAATTAGACAATTTACTTAAGGTAAATTGACTTGGGTTGGAAGATGTTAAAAGTTCGTGCATAGGTTGGAACCTTCATTTAAAAATACTGCTGATTTAGAGCCTGGGAAACAGAACCATCAGCAAGAAGTTTCCCGATTATGACTGGAAGCGCAAGTTCGGCTTTTTAAACCAGCGGATTAGAAGACGAAAAGGAAGAACCAAAATGAGAATGAACAAGATTAACCAGAACTGCTGTGACTGTTTCACAAAGAAAACGTTTCATGCAAAAAGAGCTAAACATGAACGCTGAAACAGACGTTAGTAAAAAAATTGTAGCATTGGTCGCCATGACTGCAATCACCAAAATACCAAAAGATACTTGCGTATATATAAGAATAAAAATGCTTCAAATTCGGAATACGTGTGAAATCGATGTAACATTAAACTAACCTGCCTCATTTGGTTTTTCGTCACTTTCTAAAAAGAACAAACAAATACAACTTTTACAAATCTGACGCTGCAAACACATCGATACAAATTACATGAAAGAAAAACGACGGGCATGCAAGGTAAACTAAAAAACTTATCCAAGTTTTTCCGATATCTCACATCAATGTAAACAATATTATTGCCTATTTTTGCCACAGATTTTCACAGAGAATAAAAAGCTTCTATGTGACAAAACATGTTTGCCTTGTACATGACTGACTACGCTTTCCCATGTTCTTGGAGCCCTATGCCACCTTTTTTAAGTTATCACCAGATTCCACATCTCTAAAACGAGCAGACGATACAGACTGCGCTCGCCATGACGGTGTGACGGTGATGATGACAAGAATAATAGTACGTGCTCTGCAGAAAACACGCTATCGCCTTCCTTGGACCAGAAAATAAAACCGAACACATTAAAGCCCGGGTCTTCGACCTATTCAAAGGATGGTTCCAAAGCGACCACGCTAAAGCCGGTCACTAACGTACCAATGAACCCATCTAGCGTTCTGTCTGTTTTTTTGGCGCATAAACGCATGAGAAATCGCTGAATATCATGCGCGAGTATACAACTGATATAGAAAATAAACATCAATTTGATCTTAAATATTTAATCTGTCATATATAACGAACGACAGCAGTTAACTCCATGAAAAATATCAACTTCTTAGCGTCATAACGTCTTCAAAAAGCGCTAGGTTCAACCCCCAACAACCCCATTTTCAAAAATTTGCTTTCCCTCTGGTGGACACGAAAGATTCAACCGCACGTCAGCGATAAGGCCACATTCAAAAAGTGTCCTCGAAGAAGAAAGCATTCAACTTGAATGCGGTAAGAAGAAGCGGAAAAGGCGGTAGCGAAAGCAGTAGCAACTGCGAAAGCAAATTCCTGGTGCTGCGGTGGAGTCAAATTTCCAGAGGGCAATAAACGTATTCAGGCAGACCAACAGCTGCCTCCGAGATGGAAAAAAGCCGCAGTCTAAGAGACCTCAAGGACAGGTTTAGACCCTTTCCTGCCAAGGGTAAGAATATACTTTGACGATGGAGAGAGTATTTTGAGCAACTCTTTAGCCAATGTCAACCGCACGAACATTCGCCTGGACAGCAGTAGGCAACGGATATTAATTTTTTGGTAGAGGAGGTCACACAAGTTGTAAAAAATCTGAAAAGTAGCAAGGCTGTTGCAACTGATGAAACCCACCCTGAGATGCTCCTTAAGGCTTTAGGCAAACAAGTGCCGTTGTGGGTAATACATCTGTTAAACTGCAACGGCTACAGCAAAGAAACCAATGTACATCAAAATGGGCCTCATAGTACTCCCGTTGAAGACGGGAGACCATAAGAAGTGGTCCAGCTATTGGGACACTGCTTGTTTTAGCTTCCTGGAAGTCTATGAAAATGTGTTAAATAGGAGGTGTCAAGCAATAACTTACTCTAAGATATAAGTAGAGCAGTGTGGCTTCAGGTCAGGTAGAAGTACTTCTCACCAGATTTCTGCCTAATGTCAGACTGTTAAGAAATCATGAAAGTTCGCTTATCCGGGTTACATGTGTTCTTTTGACTTGGAGAAAGATTAATACCGGATCCCGTGCAACAAAACATGTGCATGCCTGCAAACATGAAACATATGGCCAGTTGCTACGAGGCATCCAGTCACAGAATATTAACAGAGGGTGCTGCAACAGAGTAAATGACGTTAAGTCGAGACCTCTCACAGTTGGCACTGGTCTACGGCAGGGCTACGTTCTGTCCTATCTTTTGCCTGTGTTGTACATGGTTAGAACAGTCAGGCGCAATCAGAGCGATGAATGTACAAAAGCAAGAGAAGTGGAAAGAAGAAATTTGCTCTCTGTAGACGACCATCTTTCGGTGGCATCTTCTGCAAATAACCTACGGCGTTATCTGTGACGGTACGCAGATGAGTGAGACAATGCCGGCATGCGTGTGAACGTGTATAAAATGAAAAGCCTGGAGCTTCTCATTCTCCGACCAACTGCGCTTTGAAGATAATTGGAGAAGCAGTGGAACAGGTGAAAAAGTCCATGAACCATGGGGTCGTGATTACTGGTGATTGGAAACGCGCGCAGGAGAAAGATATCGACCAATGAATCACAATGATCGGCGGCATTTTGCGTGAACTAATCCGAACCGTTGCGACTAAGGCAAAGCTGAGTATCAATACTAAGTTGTCTGTGTTGCAGTCAATCTTCATCCTGATACAACCTACGGTTATGAGTGGTGAACTGAAATAAATCCATCTCTTGTACAAGTGGCTGAACTGAGCGTTTGCAAGGCTCACGCGATTCGACATGGTTCAGAGTTCAGAGAGCTTTGGTGTGAAGCCGCTGCCTTTGCAGGCTGAAAATTCACAGCTGTGATAGTGTGCACACGTCTTGAGAATTGTTAAATTAAGGAAAGCGAAACAGCAGCTAATTGCCCAGTCAACCAGCCGAAGATCCCGGGGACTGCCAAGAATGACCTGCGGCAAGTGTCTCGAAGGACTCTGCTCCAACACTCTCGGGCTATCTTCTGCCGAAGGAAACGTTGGAGACACTGTCTGACGCGTCTGCGTCCGCGACCCGAAATAACAAGCAGTCGTCAAAACTGACTGACTGTATTCCATAAATTCATACAGGTTTCAAATCACCTGTGCGGCAAGAAACCATCGCTTTTGGGACCAATATCTACTAACGTTTAGAATGACTATTCTGTATAATTGCATAGTCATTCACTTCAAGGATCTAGAACACCTACGCGATTTTACAATCACTTGACCCATTAGGGGCATGACCCAGCAAATACTTTAACGGAAGCATTTTGTATTCTCACCTTCACGCCAAAGGTACGTTACAGGTTCACACATTTATTTTCTCCTCAATTTTACCAAACCATTGCTCAAATTTTCCAAACGTAGTATACCTTTCTGTTCTGCATGACGTTAATGGTATCACTGCTATTTGAATGTGTTTCTTTTGAGCGATTGGCATGGTCATGTAACAAAAATCCAGTAACCTTTCCCTTTCGGCCACATGCTACCTTCGCTGACCGATCAAACACCTAACCGCCAATCCCGCGATCATTATGTACCCTAAGTTTCAAATATACGACATTAAACGCGTAAATTCTGCGCCATGTCTGGTGTCATTCAATTTCCCTTGTTGGGTTCTCGTGGTACACTAGCTCGTTCGATATGAAACTCAACTTCACGCAGAGCATTTACGCAGACCCCATTCTTCAGTCACATTCGACCAACGTTGTCTGGCACTTGTTTGTATGTTTTGAAATCAACAATGTAATCAGAACTACGATTCATGACAATCTCACACAGAGCCAAAGAACTGCACAGAAATTTTCTAACTAAGCAGAGCCAATTTCAACAAGAGCAAAAGCCTTTTCGCAAGAGAAAAGTCTGCTTTCTTGAGCTCCAATTTCAGCCTCCCTGCTTCCTCTAACTCCATCCAAAACATCAGTTTTCTTTGTCATAAAGGTTTACATAGCATTCTACGCAATTTCACAGCGGCACTGCTCAGACAGAATCGCTAGATAATGCCTGTTAAATACGTCAAGGAAGCAGCTGGACAGTTCATGAGCTACGCTTCTATTTATCAAATCTTCATTAGCAGTGGTAAAAATGTTCGACAAAATGTATTTTATGATTCCAATCGAAGTTTCACAAGTTATACGGTTAGAAAGTTTAAAGTTAAAGAAGTTGAAGGGCAGCAAGCAATGCGAAAGAAGTTTCTCAAAAATATACCAACTGCATTTTTAATATTACTTGCAAATCTGTATTCAGCACCATAATCTTTTCAGTAGATATAAACAGGTCAACGTCTGTACTGGGTTGCGACTCACCCTCAGGAGCCTGAAAAAATGGAGGCTTGTAATCAGATTGAGGTACCGCAGACTTACCTTGATCAATGAAACCGCCTCCTGCGCCTGCAAAATGCGGGAAGCTTTGGTCGAAGGACCATCACAGAGAAGTTGAGTAGAGCCGAGATATCGAGCTCGAAATAGAACCCCCTCGATCAAAACTGCGGGTTCATGAATAATAACTAAGAAATAAACGTGGAAAAGATCAGCAGAGAATATTCCATTTCAATGATGCATAAACTGCGAAATGTTAAGCTGAGGATGAACAACACAGTTTTCCGATAAAATGACATTTACATATTAAATTAAAGGCTAATAAACGTACAACATAGCACAATCCATACGAGTAATTTTCAAACGAAAGGTTAGGTAACAAAACGACGAGGGTGCAGAAAGGTGAACGTGAAACCAAAAGACCTCCATCGAAATAAAGCATACTAGAACACTACGCATAAACTACGTAACAAGTTACGATAGACAATGGAAAAATATTACTTACCAAATACAGCGTAGAATGTGAACAGGACATTGTAAAAAAGAAAAAAAACATTACTGAAAAACAGTCAAAATCTTTTTGCAAATGACCCTGATTTTAACGGAAAGTTTGATAAACTTAAGCAGGAACGTTCTGATTATCTGCGGTTATCATACTATTAGAAGTTCTGTGATTAAAATGCAAAACTGCGGAGAACTGATATAGCGCTCATTCAAGTGATAAATGTCCTAAATAGTTTAAAATAACAGGAAATTTTCGTTAAGCTAAGCAATCAAACGAAGTAAATGCTGAGTAAACGACAGGTAAACAATATATATAATTTAGCATAAATTTTCTCAACTGATATGAAAACAAATACAGTATCTTAATTCAACCTGCTTCACTTTTAATGTAGCGCAAAACGAGCCAAGAAGGAAGACCGACACAGTTTTGCTATAAATTACCGCATCTCAACTGCCTTCTTTGAAGAATGGAAATTTGCTACATTTCTTAAGGACAAATGAGCCGGTTCATCTACCAGAGTAAGTCAATGAACGCATAATTCCTCCAAACTGGGGTTCGCATCGTTGTCACGGCCGTTGCCTTAAGATGCGTGATGATGCCCAATATAATCGGTTAAATACGTTACAGATCTTGCTCCGGATTTAACGCTGATAATACACTCGTAAAAGCGCAATAAACTTATCATAAGCGTTCGATCTACGGCGGGATGAAGGTCTACAAACTTTGCCACAAGTTTCTGTTTCCTGTGACTCATATCCGTCATGATCCAGATAATTTCTTTCGCTCAACCTGTCATCGATTTTGAGGTCTTCCTACAGGCCGTCTATTTTTTCCTGGAATCCAGTCTAGTCTCTTGGGTCCAGCGATGGTTGGTACTTCTTGGAACGTTCCCTGCCCATTGTCAATTTAACCTCTTCGCTCAGCAATGACATCTCAGACTCTTGTTTGTGCTCTTATCCATTCAGTCGTCCTTCGATCGTCTTGTCATTTACAACATATACATCTTTCTATGTAGCGTTTCATAGTCTGCAATTTATGAATAGCTAAGGGGCCAGGTTCCGCCCCCCCCCCCACAGATTAACACTGGTAGTTCATACTGATCGAAAACTTCCCGCAATAAATTATAGAAGCAAAATTCAAATTTTCCGCGACGTTTAATAAATTGTCTCAGAACTTCAAGTCCAATGCCTAAATTCTAAAAAACTTACTCGAAAGGAAACACCTTATACTTTAAAAATTAACCGTTTTCTTAGGTTAACAATAAACTTAAGGATCACAAAAAATTCTCGCTAACAATCTCTACAGAAAACCTTCTGCAATAAAAACAGTCTGTTCTCAGCAATAGTAGGTACAGAAAACCTCAATTAGGCCGGTAGACTGCATTCAGAATGAGTGACAGTACGGTTCGTGTCAATTATCTGCTGTTTCTCCGCCAAAGCTGAGTTCAAATTTTAAGTCTCGCTGGCAAGTAGTTTTCTTGGGAAGTAACTGCACAAGCAAGTGATTTTCTGGTGGGATAATTTACATCAGAGAAAACAGATGTGAAACAAGTAATACAATTGGACTCACCATCTACAATAAATAACCTCTTATAAAGGCAATTTTGGGAATAAATCTAAAGGCACTGAGAAGCAAATTAGTTCATGTGAAATCTATTACTCATAACGTTTTTTTAATGAAAAAACATTGAAGCTAGGATCCTTTTCTCTACTACATAGTATGTCTGCTTACTTTCAACCGACCTGAAATGGCTTAAAAGCCATCCTGAACAGCGGCAGTGATAGTCATTAAACAATCGAAATATTAAAATTCACGGCGATACTTAAAAATGAAGTAAAGTTAATTTCAAGCTATCTAAAAAACTTTCAGGTAAAGTTCTAAAGTATGAATGCACAGGAACTGTGATTCACAAAAAGTTGCAACATTTTGTTCGACAATAAAGATTGCACTCGTGTGTAGAATCTCAAGCCGGGACGGCTCAGGAAAAAAACCAGAAGCAAACGACAAGAGAAAAGCTGATTAACGAAAATCACCTTCTTTTTTCTTCCGACTTTTCTTCTGAAACGTGCATAGTTTTACGCACTAGTAAAACTAAATAGTTTCCGACTTACCTCCCCAAGCTCAACTTCACCCACATATGCTTTCACTCCACTGGTTACGTCAAGCAATTTGTCAGTTTCAGAGTTGGCTTCATTGTCATTGGTGTCTTCTAAACATGCAAAATCATACCAGACTGCTACAAAACAGTAAGATCTGGAGTTTTATAAAGCAACAGGTTCTGCACCTACATAATGCAACCAACATAGTGAATCTTTGATCGGCTATAAACACACTGCCACTACTTCAGAAAAACGACTGAATGAATCTTCGCAGGTAAGAATGCTCCGGATAAAAACAATAGTTACGGCTCTCAAATACAAGCGGTAGATTTAACTGAAAGTAAGCTTTTTATCGCAGTACATTACTCCCGCTTTATACTGAGTACGTTCGCTTTATTTCTATCCGTTAAAACGAAAGTTACATTTCTAAACGTTCGCAGTCATATGCATCATTAACATTTAGCATGAACGGCGAAGGCATATCTGTTACTTCAAACTGCGAATACTTATGATTTAATAAACTTATTAAAAAGAATAACCCATTCGACCCATTCGGTTTACACGGTGCCCATTATATGTCTATATTAAGCTTTAAGTAGGTAGTGGCTCAATGATATTTTAACACGTAACGTACTGCCCTACCGAATGGCTTCTAAACATGAGAGAAATCCTACTGCGTGCGACGCCACTAAATATTTTATCGTACTGCTTCGACTCTTACTTATTACTATTACAAAAATATATGCAATTTCGAATAAACTACTTTAGGACAGATCTAAAATCAACTCTCAGCCTCACCCTAATGGTGATCTAGATCCCCT